ACCGGAACGCATTACTACTTCACGGCAGAAATAGGCAGGGTGGTGGTACCTACCCGCGTGGACTCTCAAGAGGTCCTACCACCAGTAATTACGCATTACATTTATATTTATACAATTATAATTTTGTGGGTTTGATTTTACAATCACGTTTTTCAATGTACACCAAAAAATTGTTTATTTGGTGTTAAGTGACAATTGAAGTACTCAGATCTAAAATGACGTGTTGATCTAAATAGTATTTTAATATTGCTGTTATTGTAGCTTGAATGCTTCACGGCAGAAACAGTTTGGGCGGTGACAATCAGCCGTGCCGACTTGGAAAATGTCCAGTCCAGATACATGCCGGACTGCTGATTGTTATGGACATAACTAAAGAGCTTGCTCGTGCACTTAAAGGGAATAATTAATATTAAAAAAAACATTATAGTTGTTAAAAATGTGGTGACAATTAAACAAAATACCGACACATCCCGCATAATTTGCCCTAAAGAAGCGAATTCTTTCACAATCCAAGTATGAACTAACATAAATATATTATATATTTAAAAACAAAAAAAAAACATAAAACAATACGGACAGTGGCGTTGTAATGCGCGGCCAATTCTAGTTCTTGCGCTAAAATATTCGTTGACATTTTTAGAGTTGCAGTATTCGACCGATACTGTGTTGCTGTTGCAAAGAAAATATCTAAGATTTAACGGAAATTGAATTTTTATACGTGTTTTGTTTTATGCGCCTTTTCCTGATTTAGCGAAATCGATTCTGATTCGTGATCGGATGCAAGCACGAACGTTAAATTGTTTTCATGTGGAGTTACGCCTTTCACAATGTAATGTTTGTGTTCTTTTTTGGGGGCGACCCCTCCTCTCATCCTTCCCGATTGCTTACTGCTATTGACTTAACCGCTTCAATACTAATAAAGCAATGAGTCGAAGCTGCCTTGGCAAGATTTGATTTGCAACACTCGTTAGCGGTGAAATAGAGTTTGCAACCTAGTACGGGCTTAGTTGAATTTTTGTTACATAATTACGGATCTTCGCATGACTCGATCATAGGTGCATCTCTATGGGTTATTGTGTCTCTGTTGGATACTTTGAGAATTTGTTGAAATACGTAAGAAAATATGTACAATTTTTTTTTTAAATTTCGAACACACTGTTCTCATCTAGAAATTAATTCACAGCCAACACAAAAATAAACGTAGTGTAATTTAAATAATGAATAATGTGTTGCGAATTATTCTTTGAAATTCCGTACATCATTCCTGGCAACATACAGATCGTACGATTACCGCGACACTAGCCGGGTGCGAACAATTATAATTCTTGTTTCGAAAACGTAACAAAAATGCGAATTAATTGAATTCAGCTCATTAGTTCATTTGACATTTGAACTGTATACAATTAGTTTCGTAACTTGATGAAAGTATTTTTTTTTACATATATACCTAATAAGAAAAAGTATTTTTGAATTCGAAGAATATTGAGTCTTAATTCAATGTAATAAGATTGTTAATTAATTATACATGTGCAACACAAATCTTTTGGAGCTACCGCCACTATTTCTATGTCATCAGACTATATATGGTATAGTATGTATCCTCCTACCTAACTGCTCAATCCCGGATTCACTGGTGACTAAAATAAAACTTACAAGAAGTCCTACCACCAGTAAAGAATATTGAGTCTTAATTCAATGGCATACGATTATTAATTGTATTTTGCAACTCAATTCTCTTCGAGCTACCGCCACTATTTCTATGTCATCAGACTATATATGGTATAGTATGTATCCACCTACCTAACTGCTCAATCCCGGATTCACTGGTGACTAAAATAAAACTTACAAGAAGTCCTACCACCAGTAAAGAATATTGAGTCTTAATTCAATGGCATACGATTATTAATTGTATTTTGCAACTCAATTCTTTTCGAGCTACCGCCACTATTTCTATGTCATCGGACTATGTATGGTATATTAAGTATCCACCTACTTAACTGCTCAATCCTGGATTCACTGGTGACTAAATTAAAATTTACTCACAAGAAGTCTTACCATCAGTAAAGAATATTGAGTCTTAATTCAATGGCATACGATTATTAATTGTATATTGCAACTCAATTTTTTTCGAGCTACCGCCTCTATTTGTACGTCAGACTATGTATGGTATAATAATATATAGTATGAATCCACTTACCTAACTGCTCAATCCCGGATTCACTGGTGACTAAATTAAAACTTACAAGAAGTTCCACCACCAGTAATGAATATTGAGTCTTAATTCAATGGCATACGATTATTAATTGTATATTGCAACTCAATTTTTTTCGAGCTACCGCCACTATTTCTATGTCATCAGACAATATATGGTATAGTATGTATCCACGTACCTAACTGCTCAATCCCGGATTCACTGGTGACTAAATTAAAAGTTACTTTCTCTCGCGTTAAATATTTTCATTTTATTAGACCCGAAGTTTGGAATACTTCATAGTTTTTGTGTTCACCGCGGACCGCTAGGACTACTAGTTATTTATTGTCATTTAAACATTGTGACGTCATAAACGTCTAATGTTCTATATAAAAATATATATTTACTTTTCGTTGTACACGATAATATGTAATAATGTATTATGTTCCTAGGTGTTGTTAGACGAGAGCCCGCCATCTTTTCATATATTTTTTTAAATTTCAATTGCCTCGCGCTCTATTCTTTAGCGAATATTTGGATTTTGTCATCTATACTAATCTAAAAATCTACAGTGGTTTTTACGGATGTCCCGTTATTTATTTATTTATTACACTTCATGTAAAATTTACATTGGCGGACTTAATGCCTAAGGCATTCTCTACCAGTCAACCAAAGGTAGTGCAGAGTGAATAGTGGTAGGTGCAATGTAATTTATATTAAGTTACAAATACAGACACAAAAAAAGAAGTACATACATATATACACAATCACATATACATACATACATAAACACATACATACATACATACATATATACATACATGCATACGTTATAACTACTGAACCGTGAATCCGATTGATTTGAAACTAGGTATCCATGTAGAAAATACATGTACTTATTGGATAGGCTAATATTTATGAGTGTTGGACTCCCTAATAATAATGACAATAGATAATAATGTTAATTTTAAATGCCTAGCGAAGCGGGCGAGTACGGCTAGTATCTTATGAAAACGGTTGGAACCACTGTCCGGGGCATGTTGACAAACTGCAGATTTTTATACCCATTCTTGTCCGCTACATGCTCTTTAGCTTTAACCGGAACGTGTCTCTTTGTCTCTGGTCCTATGTATCTTTTTTATTGCGTAGACGGGTGAACGAGCTCATGGCCTACCTTGTGTTAAGTGGTTACCGGAGCCCACATGCATCATAGGTAGAAGGCTAGATTTTGTTATATAAAAGCTATCCCACTCTTCAAACCAGGCTTATAATACGTCTTACTAAGTAGTCAGTATGTAATTACATAAATAATAAGTACAGGTATGTAACCCCCTATTTCACAGTATTTTACAACATGGTTCCACTCTAACACGTAAAGAAAAATGTTTCCAAAACCCTCTTATAACACGGTACTTCTACAACATGATAACGAGATTTTTGTTTAAATTTATTTAGAAATTAACATTATGCAGTATGAACACACTGTTTAAGGGAATAACCGAAATTTTACTACTTATTTTTTATGTATAATAGATAAAAAAATACATACAGGTATAGTTGAGATGTTTCATTCAGAAAAATTACTCTCCTTTTTGTACTGGCTACTAGTTTCATATAACGCGGTTTCGCACAACACGGGTCTTTGTAGGGACGTATCTACCTTGTTATAGGAGGGTTGCCTGTGCAATGGCTAGGGCATGCTGTAATATTAAAGGGAAAGGGGAGGGTTTTTGTTTTTAGCAGGACACATTATAAGATCTGACAGCTTAGTTTAAACGGGTCATTGAAATGTATTAATTGTCATGGTAATACCGAAAAATGTATGTGCTTTGACTTCATTTTCAAATGCTGATATCCCAACTAATCTTGGATGAACAAGAACACGGGGGCTGTTAAGAAAAACATTCAAGTCACGACGCGTATTCCAACAATTTATTTCCCATTTCACTAGTATCGATAACAGTAAAATTCCTAGAACATCTCAAAGACTGACATCCTGTATGTAAGAGGAAGCAAAAAATCGCGTTACTAATTCATAAGCCAAGCGAGACATAGTAACACATTGTGGCCACATATCGTTGTTATAACCGCATTACGTCTCGTGATAACGTTCGCAAAAAATGCACGGTAAAAAAGACTCGGAAACTGACCTAAGAGACGGCTGGTCGAAGGTCAAATTCGCGCGTAAGACTTGAATGAAAAAAAAAATGTCATTCTTGTTACACTTAACCCTAAAGCGAAGGAGCCCTTGCGTTTTTTGGCGGAAAAAAAAAACAGCCGGCGTATCTCGCGCCCGACTCGGTTCGTATTCGTGGCCGGGCGGCTGCAGCGCGCGGTCGCATAGCAACACAATCGTAATACGCATTCCTGATTCGAATTTCCAGGAGCGCGGGAAAACTCGAGAACCGAACTAAACCTCCATATTGCGAATTAATTTAAACCAAACGATTTCGAAGAACCGTCCGCTTGCTCGGTCGCGACGCAGTAACCTTGTTTATTATTATGAATTGTACAAATTAAACCTCGTATTGTTTAAAATATTCCGACATTGTCGGGATTGTATAGTGCGATTCTTAATTGTTTTATGTCGAGTCCGTTGCGGGGCCTCGACGAGATGTATCCGATCGGCTTTACATTTTTGTTCGTGATATAAACAATTGATAATTTCGCGGAGGAGTCGAGCGTGGTTTTTATGAATGTTTTTGCGTATTGGCCGCTGGTGGGGGAAGGGTGGGGCCTCGGTTGACTCGTCCCTCTCCTAGCGAGTATTTTGATTTAGTTTCCGAGTCTTACGCAGATGTGGCAATTTTTTTCAGTCGCGTGTGTACGGCGCGCGCGGCTAGTGCATTTTGTGTGTTTCCTATTGTTTTATGTTCTTTTTTCGAAATTTTCCCGCGCGCTCCTGTCAACTTTCCGCGGAGTTCGTCTGATACATTTTCTTTCAGGCCATTGTAAATAGGAAAGGACAAAAGACGTTTGTTTATGTTTGAAAACTGTGCTTGTTTCGACTTTTATTGTGTTCGTATCCCAACAGGAGTGTGTGTGGAGTGACAATAAGGATTTATTGTGAAAAACTGTGACATTGTGTTCATAAATTTTGCCGCGTGCTCATGAGTTTGGATAAATTAATTTAAGGTGAGTTTCTGTTCTATTTTTGTTTAGAAACGCAAAAGTTGTAGTAACTAAACCTACTACAATTCGGATAATACTTAATATATATGACAAATTACCAACTAAAGTTTTAATGTTAATTTGAAAAATTAGAGCAAATTCGCACCCCAAAATCGAAATTTCAATGTATCGATGCAATGAGTAAGTAATAAGTTAATAACAAAATCTGCTAAGATGAAATGAAAATATTATTTTAATCTGTATCTCTTAAAAACAAAAAAAAGAGAGTTAAGATTCGTCTTCTTGTGTAATTACATTTATCATATTGATTTGTTAACTGATTCTTAAAAAACTTATTTTCAAATACATTTTGTTGCTATAGGAAATATTTTTATTTATTTATTTCGTCGACTCAGTCTCTTGTATCTTAATAATGTTATTGTTAATTTGCATTTAAATTTCATCTCTAATCACGTAATGGTCAGAATCATCAGATCGAAGGAAATGTTATAATTAATTAAGGTCTTGCTGGTATTTCCAATGAATTCGCGAGGAAACATTATTCAGGCACGATTTCACGGAATTTTCTCGGGTTTATTTAATACTTTTAAATTTTCCGACATATCGGATACGTTACGGTCACGGTTACGTTACGGTCTTCGTGATAACGGACGCCTAATTAGGAAACAGCTTAACTTCCATGCTTGCTTGTACGATTGTGATTAATACGATTTTAATCATGTATTCGTCCATTGCGATCGGCTAGTGTGCTTTTTAAAAGTACATTCTATTCGGTGCTTATATTTGTAGGACAACTAATTTAAAGTAGTAATTAGATATCGCTATGGGCCAGGGATTATTGTGGATGCGTGTGCGTGCGACCGCTCTCCCATTTCTGCCGTGAAGCAATCATTCGAATGACGGATCATGCTTACAATTCAATTGAGACTTCGATCGAATGTCTCAAAATGGGCGGCAATATTACCAACTTGTCGGTCGTGGGCCCGTTGACCGATCTAAGCAATAAATCCGATGTTTAAAATTTTACTAAACTTGGACGAAAGGAAGCTCTTAACTTAAGACTAAAGTCAATTTAAAACCGTCGGAGCCAAACAGAACCGAAATAAAAGAATAATTCAATTGTGTTAGCTGGTCAACGCACTGATTTTCTTCCAGAGAAATGATATTGGGATGTAATAATATTATTTTAGTGTCGGCTGCAATTTTGAGATGTATGCATGTAGATGATGATTAGAGCACTTCAGCGTCGGACTTCATAGATAACGTGAATTCCACTTTGAGAAATGCGCTTCCAGGGATCTTTGTTGCCACGTACCATCCGGCTTTGAAGTGAGCTCCCCTCCACGGTGTTTCCCGAGCGCTATGACATATCCTTCTTCAATCGAGGCTTGTGGAGAGTACTTATCGGTAGACAGCGGCTTGGCTCTGGCATTACTGAAGTCTATGGGCGACGGTAATCATTCATCATCAAGTGGCAAAAAGACGCCTTCAGCTCTAACAATAGGAACAGGCTTAGGAATCCCGGTAACCATACTCGTCGGACTCAGCAAAGAGTTCGACATGCAACTTTAACATCAGCCCGCTGAGTTCCTCGCCGGATCTTCTCAGCGGGTCGCGTTTCCGATCCGGTAATAGATTCATTCGCGAAGCAGCTACTCATGAGTTATTAGATCTCTTTTGGAGACGCTCGGGTAGCTGTTAGCAAATCTCACTCCTCCCGGCAGAGCATTTGCTCGCCCACCTGTCCTGCTGAAACTGGAACGGCCTCAGAGCCACCAGTAATCCTTCCTTCACAAAAAAAAGGAAAAAAAATCCGCCATTTTTTATTTGTTTTACATTGCGCGCGTTGCATTAGAAATACAATAGATTTTCTCGGTAGTTTTATTAATTTAATCGTTCCGCGATAATCAGATAGAACCACATGTTTTTTGTTATCAGCAACCATTCCTTCCATCACGATCACTGGTCTGCCAGACTGAATAGGTGGGTAGTGCATTAAAAAGTCGTATGTATCGAAAATATACGCCATCTGTTATAAACAGTATAATACTGATTATGGGTACTATTATAATTAGTTTATTGGAAACTGAGCTTTGTTAATGTTGAATTAGTTCTTATTTTTGTTGCGTCATATTCATTTCGCTGTTTTCATCAAATTCAAATTCCAGAAACATGAATGAATGAATGAATGAATGATTGAATGAAATTTTTGTCGTGTTGATACTGTTCAGGATATTAGAATGAAGTTATAAAGTTATTTTATTGTCACATCGGACTATGATCCGTGTGCAGAGTTTCAGGTTAATCAGACGCGTCTCGAAGTCTTTGAAAATGACGTTCAAAGATCTAATCACATACGGATATAGGGAGATTTTTTTTTATTGCCTAGATGGGTGAATGAGCTCACAGTCCACCTGGTGTTAAGTGGTTACTGGAGTCCATAGACATCTACAACGTAAATGCGCGACCCACCTTGAGATATAAGTTCTAGTTTCAAATATAGTTATAACGGCTGCCCCGCCCTTCAAACCGAAACGCATTACTGCTTCACGGCAGAAATAGGCGGGGCGATAGTACCTACCCGTGCGGACTCACAAGAAGTGTATAAGGGTGTTTATATGTAATATTGAGTAATATGTAGAGATTATATTGAATCCACTGAGTTTCTTGCCGGGTTTTCTCAGTGGGTCGCGCTTCCGATCCGGCTCTTCCGATTCAGCGAAGCACTGCTCTTGCTAAAGCTAGTGTAAGCCATGTTCTCAGATCAAGGCCCAGTGAGTTCACCTACTCGCCAGGTTACGCTGGACTGACTCACTAAGTTAACATCTGAGCTAGGAATAAAAAAGCAATATTCTTTAACCACCGTTTATCTATCTATAGCAGTGATTCTCAACCTTTTTTTTGTTGCGGCACATATTTAACGATTTCAAAATTTGGCGGCACACAAAGAAAAAGATAAAAATTATTTACTTACTACAACACACTGCATAAATGCAAGGCTGCAAAGCAAATAATAAAATGATTTTTGTGGATTTAAATATATATTCATGTTAAAAATATTTTTCTTTTTAAATGATATAATTTAATAATATTAACAATATTATATATTTGCAAAATTTGGCGGCACACAAAAGTGCCGCGGCACAGTGGTTGAGAATCACTGATCTATAGCTTTTACACAACTTTAAACCTAAATAGTTGGATACTCTTGAATACCTCATTTTGGTATTTGCGTGACGGTCCGAACGAACTAACACCCAGAAACTGGCTAGAAACGTCAAAGTCGATGATTAAAGACCGATCACACTAACATAATAATTTGTTTTTTTTTTATATTGCTTACATGGGTGGACGAGCTCACAGCCCGCCAGGTGTTAAGTGGTCACTGGAGCCCATAGATATCTACAGCGTAAATGCGACACCCACCTTGAGATATAAGCTGCAAGGTTTCAGTATAGTTACAACGGCTACCCCGCCCTTCAAACCGAAACGCATTTCTGCTTCACGGCAGAAATAGGCAGAGCAGTGGTACCTACCCGTGCGGACTCACAAGAGGTCCTACCACCAGTAATTACGCTAATTATAATTTTGCGAGTTTGATTTTTATTACACGACGTTATTCCTTCACCGTGGAAGTCAATTGTGAACATTTGTTGAGTAGGTACGTATTTCATTAGAAAAATTGGTACCCGCCTGCGGGATTCGAACACCGTTGCATCGCTACATACGAATGCACCGGACGTCTTATCCTTTAGGCCACGACGACTTAAATATCTGTTATGATACGTATCACATAGGGACCGGGCACCGTATTTCTCGCCTGTATCGTAGAAATAGTCTTACTAGTCTTTAAAACTCTTGGATGAACCTTGTGACAAGCTATTCGTTTAATTACTCGCACGAGTTGATTAGTGACGCGTGATACTAGTATTAGGACTAGAGCGTGTTCAACTTCTGAAGGGTTGGTATTTGAAAGTTGGGAATGCCTTATTCAAATGCAGCTATGACTTTAAGCACGAAGTTGGCTCTGAGCTTTGATGGATGACGCTGTGATGTCTTCAGCTCCGATAATCCTTATCACACTTATAAACGTGATGTTTTGGTTTTATCGTAATGAAAATACCGGTCAACATGTGAATTGACTTGATTCGCAAATCTATGTAGGATTAATGTGAGAAAGTTAGATAAGGATTCTATTAGTATGAGTTGGCAAGATAGTACTGGTGGTAGGACCTCTTGTGAGTCCGCACGGGTAGGTACCACCATCCTGCCTATTTCGGCCGTGAAGCAGTAATACATTTCGGTTTGAAGGGTGGGGCAGCCGTTGTAACCATACTGGACCTTAGAACTTATATCTCAAGGTATGTGGCGTATTTACGTTGTAGATGTCTATGGGCTCTAGTAACCACTTAACACCAAGTGGGCTGTGAGCTCGTCCACCCATCTAAGCAATAAATAAATAAAAGATGGCAGTAACAAGTTCGGATTGATTCAAAAACAAAATGACTTATGAAATAATTTAAAAAAAGCATTCGGGTTGAAACATCGTAATATAAGATCTAGCGTTGTAATATGAGATTGTTATCGGAATCTTCTCACCTGTGACCCCGTCCAAGATGATCTGATTAACTTCATAGAATTCCTCAATTTCAGTTCACCGGAATATATCTGGTGATTCGAATTAAAAAATGATTTCTTTAATTCGATTGAATCAATCTTAATTTCTGTGGTGACTTACTGAAATAGTGATGTTTACAAAATGGTAAATGTTCAGTATGACGACTTTTTAAATGCAATAAGCAAGGCATTCTTAATTGCAATAAGGCATTATTAACTTTACTTTAGAAAGGGAGAAGAGAATGACAGATGGAATGACAGAGAAAAGGAAGATGGCGAAGATGGTTAAAAAAATGAGCAAGGCGTAGGTTATAAAAGTGTTAATTAATCATTAATTATTGTTAAAACAGAAGATGTTGGAACAGCGTAAATTTTATTTTATGCGC